GGGTACCTGTTGAGGGTCCCTGGGGCCCAGAGTGCCCCCCAGGGAGGCTAAGCCGTTGGGCAGCCTGAGGACCTCAGGGAGGAGGTGGCAGTGGCACTGGCAGTCCCTCAAGGCACCCTGGCCAGCACAGGACAGACCTGGGCCCCATCCCCCCCCCTCCTTTCATGGGACACCCCAAAGCAGGTGTCCCCATGGGCAAGGATGGGGTCTGCCATCATCACAGAGCCAGAGCGTGTAGGTCCCTCCGTCATTCCTCCCTTTGGGGATGATCCCTCCAACACAGGAGCCTCCAGCAACCCTCCTGGGCTGGGTGAAATGAGCTTGGAAAAAGGAGCTTTTCACCAGAAATCCTGGCTAGGTTTCACCTCCACCCCTTGCTTGGAGTTTATCCCCTGCCGCCTTTCCAAGGTCTGCAACAAAGTGCTCACGAGCCTGGAGACTCTTTTTCTAGCCAAATAAAAAAAGAAATAACAGTGACAGTGCAAGGGGTTAAGTGCTGCCCTGGTGCACCAGAAATATAAGAGCCTGCTGCTGGTTGCAATTCACACCTCAAAGTCATTTGAAAGTCAGGCACAGCTGCTCTTGGAAACACCACGAGCCCAAGCCTCACTGCTGACTGAAGGTCACAAGTTGCTCTGATTTCCCAGTGAGTATCATGACAGAGAAACAGAGAGTGATAGAAACAAACCTAGAGAGCAACCAGCTTGGTTCACTGTTGGTGGAAACTGCTGCGCTTACCCAAATCTCCCTCCCACTGCCCCAAGGTGAGTCCATCTGACAGCCGTGGGTCTGGAAAGAGCGAGAAGCGTGGACAAGTGTGCTCGATCCATTGCATTAGACGCAGCACCAGTGTGCAACCGTCCCAGGAGCCCCACATACAGTGTGGCCGTCGCGCAGCCGTCCCACTAATTCTTCTGTTTCTTCTCCCGCCGGCAGGAGCAAGCCATCGCGTTTTCCGTGATGTCCGCGTGCTTCCTGATACCAGCAGCCTGGATCATGGCACACGTGGAGCACTACAAGCGCAGATCAGATTAAGAAGCGGCAAGAACAACCTGCACCCCATTGAGAGCAGAAGTATGAGTGAAGATAAAACCACAGATCTTCACTGGGAAGGAACCGTCTGAGTTTGTTCATTAAAATTCACATTAGCATTCAGCATAATGGCTTGTTGGTTTTGCTTCAACCGTGTGCTTGTTCGTAGGGGAATAGATCTGTAATCCTGCTGTTGGACAGCACGCTGTCCTAAAGGCGGTACTCCTTTGTAAGTTTGCAGCAGGCTCCCGCAGGGAGGCATATTTCCCACTGGAGCTTTTACCTTGTACAGTTGCAGTGAAGCACAGGGCAGATGCCAAGGAACCACTCACAGCACTAGCAAGGAAGCAAAATCAAGTTAAATTCCTAGCAAGAAAATACTCAAAGGCTGTAAGTGACATTTAAAATGGTCTGCGGTCTGGGTGCTGCACATCTGACTTTTCTTCCTGCATGAAGAACCTCTCCACCCCCCAAACACACACGAAATTTCCTAATTTGCATTATGGAAGCAGACAGCCAGCACTTGCTCCCACACAGGAAGGTTTGGGTAGCAAATAATACGTCCAGATATCTTGGAAAAACCTCTGGAACAACTGTCATAATTCACTTAGACTGCAGATCTTCAGTGACCTGCTGAAAAATTTACATACAAGTGATCACTCCCCACAGTACAAGAGGGTTGTCAAAATACTCTCAGGAGAAGACTTTAGTGCCGTTTCAACAGTTAACGCTTCAGGTTTTTTTGATACTCATCTAAAGCGATAGCAGCCCTAAAGACTTTAGTGCTGTTTCAACAGTTAACGCTTCAGGTTTTTCTGATACTCATCTAAAGCGATAGCAGCCCTACAATGCATTAGCTTTGCCGCACAGTCGGCATTTCATTTACTCCTAACTTGCGGTGACATGACACTACTAAGGAGGCTGTACTTTTTTAAGCCTTTTTCCTGTCCTTAGCTATAAAACAAAGGAAACATTTTCCTGATCAGAACGCTTGTCTCCCCCACATGCTCTTCTGAAGGCAGTAAAAGTGACATCAGGAATGAGCTTTGAAAGACAAGATGAAGCAAGAACTAGGGAAAGTCAAATTGCACAACACAGGAGGAGAAAACAATGTGGTTCAATGCACACTCCAACGGCTGAACAAACAAGGGCAGTGCAAAATGATAAAACTGATGGACTGGACATGAAGAGGCAGGCATTCAGAACTGAACAACTCCAAACCAGGAAGAAATTTAGGCCAGAACTGATTGGAGAGGCAGAAGGGTGGAGGGTGACCAGGGTCTGGGTATAGGGTCTGACAATTTGATTGTTGTTGTTGTTCTTAAAAAGCTTAAGTCTCCCTTGCCTGAAGCATCTTTGCACCCGCAGAGCAGTCTAGCATCAGCCACCTGCTTTCATTTTTTCCCCGTGGCTGGCATTAAACCCTGAGAGTCAAGACAGCAAACTAGAAAAAGCACGCAAAGTATAAAAATTCCAGTAGTACAGTTTGTTAGAGTGACACCAGAGAATCAAACTGATAACTAGAGCTCTCGAATCACAGCAGTAATCAAACTGGCGCTGCGAAGCAAGAACTGACCAGGGATACATTGGCAGCAGCATTTAAAAATCCACTTAAATCCCAAGGAATTTAGCCAGGTATGTGAATATGACTCCGTTCAATTTAAAGTTACTGTTATAAACCTTAGTGTAGTTTGCTATTACCGCCTTATAATTAGGAGTATTATGCATCCAAATGGATACTTGGAGGCAGCCTCCAGTTCAGATCTGCATTTGTTTCAAATTCTCAAAGCGCGCAATCATCTTCCATCCCCATAAAGACATCGCAGCAGCAGTAGAGCACAACAATTACATTACAGAAAGCTTTTAAAGTAGCAGTTGTTAAGAGGCAAAAGCAGAACAAAAGCTTGTTGTCTCGGCCCTTATTTAGGCCTTTTCAGTCAGTAATGCTTCCTCAACTTGAGAAAAGGCATCAGGACTACAGCTTCCCACAAAAGAAAAGAACTTGACAATAAAGTACATAAAGTAAATTACACACTAATCTCACTGGTGATTAACAGACTGTTTAAATCGTCTTGTTCTTGGACAAGGGGTTTTTGTAACATGAGACTTAAAAGAAAGCATATTTCTAAACAGATCAGAGGCTCAACTGCAAGTTATGAAGACGACCGACGCAGAACTACAGAAAAGGGAAGGCAGAGAAGTTTATTCCAGCAATACTGCTGCACCTCACTTTAGCACAAAGTGTTTGCAAAAGCCAACCACCCCCAAAAGTATACAAAACCACATCCACTAAACAGTAATCCTGGAAAACACCCTTTGATGGAGTAAACGCTTCCTCTACTGCAGATGAGGAGGAGGGGTCGTGGAGAAAGGGGGCAAAAGGAGAAAGATGATTTCAGTAATGCTGCCTTTTGGCTGCTGCAGGGGCAGGGGGAGAGACAGGTTACCGGGGAAGGTCATGCCCTCCTAAGGCCGATACCACTAAGTAATACCACATATTGGTCAGGCACCTCTCTAGCATGTTTTCATAAAGGAGCTTCTGCTAGCCCCTTTACCCGGCAAATAGCTTCCACTCCCATAACATGCAACCAGCATCACATCCTCTCACAACAGTTTGATAACAAGACTGATAAATCAACCACTGCGGAGCCTTTGTTCTCCTTTTACGAGAGCAGGATGGGAGCTCTCATGATCAGTGCCACTAATGTTAGCGCATAGGGAAATCTTGACTCCAAGCACCAAAGGGTTACACAGCAAAAGGCCACTTACTCCTCCGAACAAGCGTCAAAAAGCTGCTCTCCCCTCTGCCCACCCACCCCCCTTCAATATAATTCAGTACAGAGTCAGTGGTCTGAGTGCTGCTAGCGTCAGCAGCAGTAGAAATTACTCTCCCAGGGGTAGTGCAAGGTCCTCTATGTTAGGATGTCATGAGCTTGGTGCTCCACCAACATCTCCATGCTCCTCACGTCTGTGCACCAGAACTCCAGGCGGTCTTTCATTCCTTTGATCTGCAAGGCAAGCCCACAATAACTTTAATGCCTCAACTACTGGAAATACCGATATTCACCTTAAGGACAAACACTTGGGATCCCAAACAACTACTCAAAACCCCATACATCTAGAAAGATGCTACTTAACATCTTTTACCATCAAAATGGCCATGTTTAAAGTTAAATCGAAATGCACAAAAGGAATTGTTTGCAGCTAGTATTTCATGTACTGAATTTTTTTTAAAGGTAAAAGGCACCCTATACAGTCTCCTAAAATGTTACAAGGATGAACTTGAAGGTGCTGAGCTTCTCATCTTTATCACCCTGAACTTCTCTCTTCCCAAGACAAGTGTGCCACCTACAACCCAGAAACTCCAAGATTTTGTTTCATGCATTTAGGCTTGAAGCAGCCACACAGATGTCTGCATCATTCTGGAAAACACAGTCATAGCATTTGTGTTTTATGGTGGTTTGTGTGGCTTTCAGAAGAGAAGTGTCACTAATATCCTGTTCTATCTCCTGACAGGTTTCTAACTACTTACTGCAAAACACAGCTACAAAACGCTCCATATACCCAAGGTAAAAGCTAAAGGTGGCAATGTAAAAAAGAATGAGGAAAAGCTGATATACTTCCTCGTTTTCCAAGCATCTTAAGAAGCACTAAGGAGACGTTCTCAGTGACCCTTCACAGTTAATTTCCAGGTCACTTCACACACCAAAACAAGTTAGTGCTGCCTTAATATTCAAGCTGGTCGTTACCTGTTGTAAATCCAACACGCGTGGTTGTACCCATGTCATGTGCACCTTCTTATCGACTTCATCGATACTGCCCTTTACCAAGCCTACCGAGAGAGCCTTCATCACCAGCAGTTCCACCTAAAAATAAATAGTAATTCAAGGAAACAACTGAGAATCACCCAGTTTCCCCTGAGATGAATAAAACCTTTAAATGGCACTAGCTTTTGGAAGACTGTGTACTATACACAACAAAATCAAGAGCAGCTGCAGCCTCTCTCACACCCATCTTTTAGGTTATAAAACTGCCTTGAGACTCGACATCTAAATATACAGGAGAGATTTCTTTTCCCTACGAATGGATTTATTTTCTTTTCTTTTCTCTGAAATCCCCGGAAGAACAAGGTAATTGGAAAAAGTCAACATGGATTTACCATGGGTAAGAAGTGCTTGACCAATATGATTGCCTTTTTAAATTAAATAACTTGCTCAGCAGTCGAAGAGAGCGCCGTAGGTGCCCTGTACCTTTCTTTTAGCAAAGTGCTCAACAAGACCTTCTACCACATCCTTGTTGACAAGGCAATCTACAGCACAGACAGAACCACCACAAGGTGAGTGGAAAATGTGCTAAACCACCGAGCTCAAACATCAGAGGCTTGAACAGGCAGCTGGTTATGAGTAGTGTTCCTTAGGGGTTGACACTGGGTCTGATACTAGTTAACTATCTTTAAGCTAGCCAGATGACAATTTCACAATGACACCAAACTGGTAGGGAGAGGTAGGTGTGCTGGAAATAAGAGCTACCATGAAGAGAGACCTCAATAGATTGGGCTAACGTGAATCGCATGAAGTACAGTGAAGATAAGCATGGAGTCCTGCACCTGAGACCAAACGACCACAAGCAACAGGACAGGCAGAGGTCTGACTGGCTGCGGTGATACTATATACTCTGAATATACTCAGCAGAGTATCCTCTGATGGAAAGGAGCAGAGTCTGGGGGGGACAGCAAACTGTGCAAGAGCCAGGGGCGTGCCCCTGTAGCAACAAAGGGGAACTGTCCCCTGGTCTGCATCAGTAGGAACGCAGCCAGCAGATCGAGGGATGTGATCATTCCACTCAGCACCTGTTGGAGCATACCTGCAATACCGTGTCCAGTTTTGCATGCCCCCCCTTTCAGTTTAAGGGGGGCACTGCAAAACTGGAGAGAGTCTAGCCAAGATTAGGAGGCTGAGAACTTGACATTATGAAGAAATTTTATCTGTTCAGCCTAGATAAGAGGCAGCCTGGGGATACCTCATCACAGTCTTCCAGTGCCTAAAAGGCAGTAACACAGAAGGTAAGAGGTACTGTTTTCACAAGGATGCAAGGTGAAAGGACAAGAGACCACAGGCAGGATTTAC